TATTAATTAATTTAAATCTTTAATTTTTTGTTAATTATCTTTTCTCATTTTAATTTTAACCAAAGTTTTTTTGTAATTAAGCAATTTAGTCAATATGTTTCAACTCTTTTCAAATCAATTCTTCATGTTTTGAATCTTAATCAAATCAGTCCTTCATGTTTCAAATTTAATTAAATTAATCCCTTTACTTTTTGTTTCGTGCTTATTGTGCATGCATGTTCTTGACTTTATCTATTTTTGTCCAAGAGTTTAAAAGATGTGACAATTTGGTCCATCTGTTTTTCAAACTTACTTTTTAAGACTTAAGTAAATACGTAATGAATAAGTTGAATTAAAACCCCCATCGTTAAAGTATGCAACCGTGTTTAAACGGAGGATTGTAAGGTGCGCGTATGCCCTTCCTCACTCCTAACCACACCCCGAACCCCGATCTCTGCGCAGACTTGTTTTAGGTGACTTATCCCACCTTATAATTTGGATGAGTGGTGACTCCCTTTTCTTTTTATATTTTCACACTTAATCCCATTTTAAGTGGTTGTCAACAATAGGTATACAACAAGCAAAGATTCAAGAACTTAAGGCTGTTGAGGTGATTTAGAACCTATACCATATCAAATGAGTAAACAAAATTACAACATACTCCATCTAACTAATTTGTTTCCTAATTCCAAAATCAAGTTCCTAAACAAAGAAACAACCTCTCCCTACACCTCTCGATCACCTTTACCCTTTGAAACCTTACTAATATATTAATATGTTCAATCATACTTAGAATATGCTTAAAATAGCTCCAAAAAAGCACAACATAATAGTAGGTATTCTAAATAGAATTTCTAGGCAAAATGAGGTGGAAACATGTGAGAATCCAAGCTCAAAATTACCTCAAGCTGCAACACAAAAGCTGGGTAGCAAGGTGGGGATTTCCACCATTTGAAACAATCCCAAGATATTTAGAAAAAACCCTGAACAGCAAGGATTTCTGGGTAGAAAGACTGTCACGCCCCAAAACCCAAATCCGAGGGCATAACAGACACCGTGCACTCGTGAACAGGTCCCACAAATGCACAAGGCTCGAAACCTACTGAGTTCTTAATTTCCAATTCGGATAATTGAAATCTAAAAACTCAGGTAAAATCTAAATTTCCATTACCAAAAATTTACTAGTCAGGATGTACAACAGTTTATAAACAGTTATGGCTATAACCAAGGAAACTCTGTACACAAAAATGGTTATTTATGTCAACCATGTGAGACTAGCGGCCTAACTCCAAAAGATCTAAGTCCAAAATAATGCCTAGTCGTCTAGCTTGTCACTCCCCCGACTTCCCATGTGTCGGGTATCACTACCTGAAATGGTGGACAAGGAAAAACTAGGTGAGATAAAATATCTCAGTAAGTAAAATATGGATAGCCCATGGATAAAATTTTAGCATGCCTGATAAACAGTTTAACATAACAAAACGTTCAATGATAAACCGCTAATGCAGAATCAAATTCAGTTCAATAGCTAAGCGTTTAATGACAAACCGTTTATGCAGAATCAAAAGTCAGTTCAATAGCAAAGTGTTCAATGACAAACCGTTTATGTAGAAAAAAATTCAGTAGTAGTCTCATCTATAAGTCATGGCTAGTGTTTAACAAACTCCCACTGACAGGCGTCAGTAATAACCAGTGTTTAACAACTCCCACTGGCAAGCGTCAGTAATTACCAGTGTTTAACAAACTCCCACTAGCAGGCGTCAGTAATTACCAGTGTTTAAGGTCGGGCTGCCAATTTCATCCGCCTTCTAGAATCAAACTTTTAGAAGAATTTTCACCTTGAAAACAACTTAACTGGGTTTAACATCCAACAGAAAAACTATGGGCCTATCTCTTAACTTAGAATCAAGAAGGACTTAACTTG